TCTGTTTGTTTTCTTCTTTTTGCAGTCGTGGAGGTGACTGAAGGCAACACGACCACAGTAAGTCGCTGCACCCCCTTTTTCCTTAGTAGCTGCCTTGGGTGTCGCTTTCTCCTGCCTTCAGCCTCCAGTCGTGTGTGTCCTCCGTCCGCCCTTTACCTCCGTTCCACCCCCAAGTTAAGAAAAAAAAACCGGCGACTTTTCTGCCTCAACCTAAGAAGGGCTTGGAACTGTTGGAGCAAGTCCAGAGGAGGCCACGAAGTTGATAAGAGGACTGGAGCATCTCCCCTGTGAAGACAGGCTGAGTGGTGGCCAGTTTGGAGAAGAGAAGACTGAGGGAAGACCTCATAGCAATCTACAACTTCCTCATGAGGGTCAGTGGAGGGGCAGCTCTGATCTCTGCTCCCTGGTGACCAGTGACAGGACCTGAGGGAAAGGCATGGGTTCAAATTAGGGGAAATTTAGGCTGGGTATTAGGAAAAAGTCTTTTCCTATGAGCGTGGTGAGACATTGGCACAGGTTGCCCAGAGAGGTAGTGGCTGCCCTGACCCTGGCAATATTCACAACCAGGCTGGATGAAGCCTTGAGCAACCTGGTCTGGTGGGGAGGTGTCCCTGCCCATGGCAGGGAGAGTTGGGCCTAGATAATCTGTAGAGTCATTCCAACCCCTGTATTAGGAAAAAGTCTTTTCCTATGAGCGTGGTGAGACATTGGCACAGGTTGCCCAGAGAGGTAGTGGCTGCCCTGACCCTGGCAATATTCACAACCAGGCTGGATGAAGCCTTGAGCAACCTGGTCTGGTGGGGAGGTGTCCCTGCCCATGGCAGGGAGAGTTGGGCCTAGATAATCTGTAGAGTCATTCCAACCCCTAAAACTGTTCTATAGAAGACATCTTAGAGTGTGAAGGCAAAACCGTGGTAGGAATGTCTTGTAAGTTTAGGTAAGCAATTGAGGATTTGGCTGCTGAAGGGCAGGATTGTCACCCTGTTGCCGATTACAGATGCCTCCAGTCAGAACCATCCATGAGCACCAAACCCCTCCGTCACTACACCCCCAGTAAAGTTGGATGCCCTGACCAAAAGCATTCAGAACCTTAAACACCAGACACAAGAACTTCATATGGGTTTGTTTCTTACACTGGTATCACTTGGCATCATCTTGAGTACGGACAGGCACAAAGGAGGTTGGCCAAGTGGCTTTCTCACTTAATCCTGGGCTGGTGGCCTAATGTGGCATCACAGGATAACTGTACCAGCTATGTGCCACACAGATCACTTGCCTTTGGTTTGTGTTGCGTTTTCTTAGTCACTGTGTGTGTGCCATAGTGACTGCAGGTGATACAAAGCTTGCATATTACAATAAATGCACTTTGTAAAGAAAAATTTTCAGTGAATGAAGTATTGCCAAAGGAAGACCTTAAAAGCTAAAGCAAAACAACTCCTGAAAATAAAACAGAAGTTCTGAAGTAACTGATGAAGGAGAACACCTTCTCAACAATGGTCTAAGACAGGAAGGAAGGGATCAAAGCAGTAGAATTAGAAGTTTATCTAATTAACGCCATCTGATCTGTTGCAATTTATCAAGAGAATTGTTGTGTTTTAGAAGAAGCACCGGAATTACTGGAGGGGAAAGGAGATTTTATTATTCTGCTCACATTACATATGCCAGTAGAAATCTCTGCCTTGGCTGAAGACAGGTAGCACAGGTATTTTGAAATATATAAATACAATGAGAGTAGAGCAGGAATTATTTGGGAATAGCTAGAAGACAGTGCACCTAAATGCTAATCTACGTATGATAAGAAGGGGATAGACTTTTTTTGCCTACTAATGAAACAGACAAAACCTGTTTGTTCATGCCTTTGAAATCTGAGTATTTTTGTCAGAAATACATCCTGTCCAAAGTTTTGTTGTATTAGTGGACATTGTTGTGTTTGAAACCTGCATGGAGCAGGTTACTTACTCTATTAGATGTTGTATATCTAAAATATATCGCAGTTAACAAGATCTCTTAAGGTTGTCAACAAAAGTAAGTTTAAGGTGTGACAGTAGGTGTGATGGAAAGTACCTTTTCTTTGTCTTCAAGTGCCAGACCAACTAATCTTTGCCTAGAAACCTAAAGAGAAGAGCTTACAAGCATGCCCTGAAGTTGTTTTAACCAAAATAAGGTGGGAGCGTGCACACCAACCAAATACTCAGTGAATTTCTGTATTTTGGTCAGTTTCAAGGGGGATGTATATCATAGACTCAGAATTTTAGGGGTTGGAATGGGTCTTACAGATCATGTAGTCCCAACCCCTTGCCATGGGCATGGACACCTTCCCAGCAGACCAGGTTGCTCAAGGCTTCATCCAACCTGGCTTTGAACACCAGCAGGGCTGGGGCATCCACTACCTCCCTGGGCAACCTGTGCCAGTGTCTCACCACCCTCACAGGAAAAAACCTTTTCCTAATACCTCGCCTAGATTTCCTCTCCTTCAATCTGAATCTGTTACCCCTTGGCCTGAGACTGCACCTCCTAACAAAGAGTGTATTATAATCTCAAAGTCCCAAAACATTAACTGAGGCTTAAGGTGAAAACGGTATGCATTACATTAGCAGAGCCCTTTATAGAAAAAAATCTTCCTGGAGATTTGGATATTTTTACTGTATAATATCCTGGCATCAGTCTAAGATCTGTCTGTGTCCTTAGATGAGGAAAATCTTGTACAAATGGTGTAAATTGACAAACCAAAGGTTTGATAGGCTTCTCAGTGTATCCACTAGTCATTCCATTTATCCTGCCAATTCTGCATCAGCTTTTTCCAAATCCATCTTTCTGTGTGTCCTTGTTTTTATCAGTATTGAAGTGTTTGAAATGAGGCAGATAATGAATCCCCAAGAAATCCAGATTTCATCAGCATGCTGAGAACATAGAGCCCCTATACTCCCTCTGAGTAGCAGCTGAGTGGATTGACAGTCCTCAGCAACTGGGGAGTAATTGCCAAAACCTATACTAATGAAATTTATCTTAAGAAAAATTGATATTGACATAGCATTCTGAATTGTTATTCATTTCCAAGATGGAATTACAATCAAAGTACTGTCTGAAGCAAGACTGGCAAGAATCAAGACCAGATATATCAGCTTCCCAGAAAATACTGATGAATAGAAAATTAAATACTGGCCTACACTTTATATATTCATAGTTACATTTTGGTTTTTGGAAGATTTGCTGTTCCACTTGTGTGAGGGGAATCTTACCGAAAAATTGACAATACTGTCTCTTTGAGGTACCAAGATGCTTGAACTGCAAATCATAGAATCATAGAATCAACCAGGTTGGAAGAGACCTCAAAGATCATCGAGTCCAACCCTACCATCGTTACTAGACCATGGCACTAAGTGCCACATCCAGTCTCATCTTGAAAACCTCCAGGGATGGTGAATCTACCACCTCCCCAGGCAGCCCATTCCAATCCCTGACTACTCTCTCTGTAAAAAATCTCTTCCTAATACCCAACCTAAACCTCCCCTGGCAGAGCTTGAGTCTGTGCTCTCTTGTCCTACTGCTGGTTGCCTGGGAGAAGAGACGAAACCCCACCTGACTACAGCCTCCTTTCAGGAAGTTGTAGAGGGCAATAAAGTCTCCCCTGAGCTTCCTCTTCTCCAGGCTAAACAACCCCAGCTCCCTCAGCCTCTCCTCATAGCACTTGTGCTTGAGACCCTTCAACAGCCTCATTACTCTTCTGAAATAATCTCATAAAAGAACTGTTCAGAGAATTAAACTGAATAAAATATTGGTGTATTAAAAAAAGAAGACCACAAATCCCTCAGACATCTAACAATCCTTTCTTAAATTTAACTTTTGCTCAGAATTTTCCTGTTGATGATTCATAATCTAGCAAGCCCCTGCATGTTTTAGTCTACAGCATGTATCTACTATTCTGTGACATTCCCATATTCCCAGAAAAAAAATTCATTTTTAGCTTTTGGCTAAAGGGCCAGTACAACTTCAAGGCATGATGGTTCAAATAAACAGAATTCAGGCCAATATGAGAACTTCACACTGACTGTCACCTAGTTCACATTTAGTAAAACATACACAAGAATTTGCCAATGGGTTGTCTATGCCCTTTGGATTTGTTCTTCCCCCTACAGTCTGTGTATTTCCAAAGTGCTTGGTATATCTGTGTAAAAATAATTTGAATAATGCAGATACTGTTCCCCTGACATCTCTGCAGTAGTGGTCGATGTACTGTGGACTGGATGAAAAGTATTTCTCAGGTCACAGGTGCAGGTAGATGTCCAAGCTATGCCTGATCACTATATCCTTTGAATTGTTTCCTAGATTGAAGGGAGAATTATAGAGGATGCTGAAGCACCAACTCCTCCAAACCCCTCTGGCCAGTGTCCCATCTGTCGCTGGAACCTGAAGCATAAATATGATTATGTGGTAAGTTTAATGAAGGAGAGTTCCTCCATCCTCAGAGCCACATAAATGATGCTCTCAGATCTGTGTAGGGACAACCTGCCCCTCTTGTCTTTTGCTGGGTGTAGTAAAGATACTTAACTCCATCTCTGTTTCTCTTGGGTGTAACAAGAACTTCACACATAGTAATTGTTTGCCTTGCCTGATGGTGTTCCTGGGAAAAAAAAGGATGAGCTTGTATCAAATAGGAGATTTGGAATTACATACATGGCCATCTGATGTGAGAAGGCCATGTATCTCTTCTGTGTCCAGCTGCCTTTCAGCATTGCACTCCCAGGGAAATCAAACTGGAATGTAGCATTTAGTCAATACATGCAGGCCTGTTCTAACTCCAGAGAGGCCAGAAGTCTTCACTAGATCAATTATATGCCTTCAAGCACTACAATTTCTCATTGGGTCATTGTCCACTAAGTTAATAACTGTTTCATGTAACTTCTAAAACTCTTGATGAGTATGAAGGAGAGCATACATTTTTACATCCCTTGCAACAGAAGGTTTTATTCAAGCTTTTTGCAGGAAATGCTCAGGAGAAGTATATTAACTAATGAGAGGATAACTAACACTAATCTTGAAGATGGGAGGGAGATCCTGTAGTGCTTTAAAACAAAAGCACAGCAGTCAAGAACACTTTAGAATAAGAAACCTGAGATAGAGGATACAGAATGTAACTTTACAAGGGGTCATTCAAACACAGAGTTTACAAGGGGACTAGGTGTCCCCCTTGCAAGCTAAACACCCAGCACTGGAATTAGAAAAGAAGAAAACCAGACAGGAACATGCTGTTACTAAGATAAGGCAACAGAAAACTCAGAGTAAGTTAATGTCAATAGGATTAGAGTGAGAGAGATACAAATACATTGGAGAAAAAGAAATCTCTGTGAGAAAGAAAGTCTGCTAATGAGAGGAGAAGGGGACTGAAAGCCACATTGGCTGCAGAATGACTAAGCTGCTTGCATGTAGTCCTAGTGCACACACACAAGAAGTTTTAATATCTGTGTGGCTATGGCAATCTTGCAAACATAAAACAACAGGGAAAAACTGGTACAGATACAACATAAGCATTGAATTAGGTACAGACTAGCAGGCCTGGATTGCATGTTGCCCCAAGATTTTAAGGGCATTAGCTCACAACTATATTACTTCAGTTGTAGGAATTTTTTTAAGCATAAAAAAAATCCTAAGGAATCACCAAATGGTTTGAAAATAGCAAGTGAAATACTGAATAGTTGAGACAGGAAGGAGAATGATGCTGAGGATTGGCAGTTAGTATATAAAATGTTGCAAATTCCAAGCAAAATTGTCCCAGCTAGGAGTAAAACCAAATAATCTGTTGAATAGGACTAATTGCGACTCATGAATTATGAAGAACCCATGAGTGCAGTAATAGTGCCAGACAAAATGCTTGCAATTACTCCAGACAGGTGAAACAACAGATATGAGATGTAAGTGAAATATGTTGCAGAAATTGAGGCTGTTTAGGATCTGAGTGATGTCAGTGATTCTGATTCAGGCTGGGTACAATATTAAACAGTGAAATAAACCAGGGACAGGTAGTACTTAGTGTTCCTTAGTGAAACCTGGAAATACAACGAATTTGCAGATTATGGTAAATTAGGTGAAATGACAAATAATAAGTATGGAAATACTACAAAAACAGATCATGTTTGTTTTGTGTTGCTCATGTTTGAATGCAGTGCTTTCTTGCAACTCTTTTCTTCTTCATGATTGCTGAATGGTGTTGTAATCAAACCCAACCAATCACTTGCAATGCAAAATGCTCTCTGAAGGTTAATACAGTTTTCTGTGACTTTTAAATGCAAGAAGTCAACAGCGTCATTGAACTAGGTAATTCTAGAGATTTACAGAAAGCATTCTATGAGTCACACATTAACAACTCCAGAGAAACTATAAACTGATGTTCAGGGATTGAAATGAGCTATGGGAGTGGATTAAATCTTGGAAATTAATGTATAGACTCATTTTCAACTGCTCCCTGTGGTAGAAGACTCTATTGCACATAGAGATAATAGTGCCATCAAGAACCAAAGAAGCTGTTTTAGCCAGCATGATCCTGTAGAGCCTGAGTTCCAAGATTAGAAGTTGGTCCCAACTTCTGAGTTTTACATGTGTTTGTAAAGTGATCTGAGGTTAGGAGTTTTCTTCCACACCTCACTTTGATTCTTAGATCCTGATTTCTACTGTTCAGTAAGGAGGCAAGAGAAAACCAAATGCGAGGAGAAGTCCTGCAGCCAGAGTCTTGGGGATCATTGCTAAGATAATTTCTAAGCAATTGTGGTCCTGAGAAACAATCTAGGAATGTGTCCATATCAGCTGTCACACAGTTTTTGAATGCTTATGCATCTGGCATATACACTGCATATATCCAGTACTCCTTCTGTAGAGCAGAGGAGAACCTGGACAAAAAGCTAAAGAGAGCAGTGTGAACTGGTGTTTCAGAACTGTAGAAGTTTCTTACCTCATATTTAGAAGCATCCCTCTGTGGGACTGATGAGAAGTAGGAGAAATTTCAGTTCTGACATTGACCACCTCTTCTGCTTGTCTAAGTCCCTTATGTGTTTGAATGCTTTGTACCAGTCACAGATTTTCAGGATTTTAAATGTTAAGGTGAGTAAAAATCTCACTTTTCTGCACTAAAGCACACTCTGCTATTTTAGTCTTTGCTGCAGCAGTGATGAGCAGCAGAATCTTGAAATGCTTAAGTACTAAAGTGCAGGCTATGGGCAATTAAACAGTGGCACAATTTACTCACTGGTGGTTAATTGTCCTAAATGTCTGTAAATTGAGAATGGCTATTTTTGTTGAAGATATAGCCTAGTTCATACAGCATAACCTATAAACTGTGCTTGGTAAGGGAACAGAATAGATGGATCACAGTGGTTCCTTTGAGATTGATAAGCCGAGATCAGTCTGTTGCACAGAAGGGAAAGTGTGAGGTTTTTTGCTTGGGACGCTTGTAATTGGGCTGAATGAGGCACTATGAAAAGGGAAGTGTTGAATTAGCCCCTGAGGGAGCTGAGTAATGTGACCTCACAGGACTTTCCTTTTGTCATGTGCAACTAGCACAGTCTAAAGGAGTGGCATAATGAGTTACTCTGGCTGTCAGAGAACTGGGGGACCAGTGTCTCCAAAGTTATTAATCAACTGAACAGGCATTGTGAGCACTAGCAGGTCATGATTCCAACCTGCCTCAGCTGTGGTGTGGAGGGCTGCAGTTGTCTTTGCCAGTCTCTGCCGTGGCTTAGGCTAACAGAGCCTAAGGTATGAATTCCCACAGTTTGTGATCTGTGTGTATCTGTCCAGTGAAACTGACGTCTCAGTTGATTTTTCTTCATATCCATTGGAGATAAAAAATATTTTTGTCATTGTAAGGATGCAATGGATTGAAACCTGCAATGCTGTTAAGAAGTGCCTGGAGAATGGTGTGCAACTCCCAAGAGCAAGGGAGAAAGTTAAAACTAGACTCTTGTGTAACTGGAAATAATGACTGGCAGACATGTCCAATACAGCTCAGTAGTAATTTGGCTGCACAGACAGAACTGTTGTTGCAGTAAATGGAGATTTTAATGAATTGCATGTAAGCAGTCAAGGATGCTGCTTTTCAAAGTCTCTGCAGGCATTAAAGTGCAGAGATGCCTCTGCATTTTGGTTGCCATCTCTTCATAAGAATGTGTGGTGTATACTGTTTCATATAGCAAGTTTGTCCAGTCCTTTTAGAAGCGAAGACTGAACTTGTTTTTCCTTTTCCCCTTTTTATCCACTTCAAACATCATTAGTTTGAGTAGGCAGTAAATATGTCATCTTGCTTTGGCAACAGTTAGGAGGAAATCAAACTACAACCTCTGCCTATTAGCCCTAGATTAATTTAATCCAAGTTGTTTTCATCAAATGCTGCAGATTACAGGGGTGGGAATCTGGGCCCAGCCTCATGGGAGCTGTCCAGTGATTAAAGCAAATCCGTGGTTACAGGCTTGGCTGTCCACTAGCACAAAATGTGAATTTCATGGAACATGACGGCACCATGAGAACTTGCCAGACATATTTTTTCTTTGACTGCTCCACATACTTTTTCACTTCCCTTCACAGCTGCCCCATAAAGTTGGCTGTACCTGTCTGCTTTCTCCCAGTGGTAAGATACATCTGTGTGAGGAGAGAGGCACCTGGCCTGTTAACTGTGGGGGATCTTCCGAAATGGACACACCTTTGGTCAAGTGTGCAGCATTTTAAGCCAAATGGTGTGAGTGCAATTTGGAGCTGCAGCAGCTGAGACATAGATGATTTCAGTTAAGAAATGACTGCCACACAAGGGTGTTGGTCAGTTGGTGACACTGTTGGTCTGAGATGATAACAGAGAACAGATTTTCTTGGGGTTTTTTTCCCAAGAGGAGAAAAAGAAAGATTATCTCCCTTTGCTTCCCACCTCTCCCCTCTCCATGGAAATACTTGATAACAAGCTTGTGACTCCATGAGGTGTGGTAATATGAGAAATCACTTGGACCACACACACACCCTTCACAAGAGCCTGTGGCCTACTTAGACTTTCATGGCTGCAAGGACTGGAGCAGCCTCAAACTTGCCATCAGCTTGTTTTTGCCTCTTCTCCATAGAGTAACGCAGCAGGCTAGTAGCAAAGTCTAGCAAGTTTTTCTCTTTCTAGGCACTTGGAGCTGAACAGTCCTTTTTCACTTAGGGAAGTGGTATGTTTGTGCTAAATGGCAAATTGAGCTGTTGGTGATTTGAAGAACCAGATGGCTAAAGAAGAGGAAAAAAAAGGGATGTAGTCTTGCTCTGGTTTCCTGAATCCAATTCAGTGTATTTCAGGAGTGGTCAAAAGTCAGTGCCTTTGCACTGTTTGGCTGGCCTCCATCCAGTTTCTACCAATGCAGCTGGCACAGTCTGGTCTCCTGGTTACTGTTCTCCTTGGCAGGGGCATGTGTTAGCCAGACTGAGGACACTCTGCTTCTGTTTTAACCATAGACAGCCTCCCAGGAGCTTGATGCTAGTTGCTCAGCTGTGCTTTTCCTGTTCTTTGGATACAGCATCACTCTCTATGGTGCCCAATAAGTCATTTCATGTCAGTGAGAAGTTGTCTACCTATCCTGCCTGTTTTCAAAAGAGCCGGATCTGAAAATCAGTCATTCATTGTAAAATATAAAAAAACCCACATTCACTGTAGATAAGTGGAATTAGAAAGGAAGCCAGATGAGGCAAAAGGGAAACTGTGTGTCATGATGGTATTAGTGAGGGTGGTATTGAATGCTGGGAGGGAGAAGGACAGAAACAAACCACAAAAACTAAAATAAATAAAACTCTTCTAAATTTTGTCTATAACACTTGTAAATGCAACACTTTGTCCCAGTGGCTGGAAAAAGAGAAACATTGCATCCATGTTTTAAAAGGCTAGAAAGGAGGACCCTGGGAACTATAGACCTGGCAACCTTATCTCTGTGCCTGGGAAGATCATGGATCAGATCCTCCTGGAAGCTATGATAAGGCACATGAAGGACAGGGAGGTGATTTGAGACAGCCAGCATGGCTATACAAAGGACAAGTCCTGCCTGACTAACCAAGTGGCCTTCTATGGTGGAATGACTACGTCAGTGGACATGGGAAGGGCTACAGATGTCATTTATCTGGACTTTTGTTAACTCTTTGACATGGTCCCCCACAACTTCCTGCTCTCTAAATTCGATGGATGGACCTTTAGATGGATAAGGAGTTGGTTGGACAGTTGCATCCAGAGGGTAGTGGTCAATCACTGAGTCCGATGGACATTAGTGACAACTGATGTCCTTCAGGGGTCTGTATTGGGACTAGTGCTATTTAATACCTTCATTAATGACAAAGACAAAGGCATCAAGTGCACCCTCAGCAAGTTTGCAGATGACACACTTGAAGGGTGGGATGCCATCCAGAGGGACCTGGACAAGCTCGAGAAGTGGGCCCATGGGAATATCATGAAGTTTAGTAAGACCAAGTGCAAGATGCTGCATCTAAGCTAGGGCAACCTCCAGTATCAATACAGGCTGGGGGATGAACAGGTGGAGAGCAGCCCGGCCGAGAAAGACTTGAAGGTGCTGGTGAATGAGAGGCTGGACATGAACTGACAAAGTGTCCTTGCAGCCCAGAAAGCCAGTTGGATCCTGGACTGGATCAAAAGCAGCATTGCCAGCAACTTGAGGGAGGTGATTCTGCTCCTCTACACCAGTCTCGTGAGACCCCACCTGGAATGCTGCATCCAGCTCTGGGGTCCCTTCACAGGAAGGATATAGACCTGTTGGAGTGAGTCCAGAAGAGGAACATCAAGATGATTAGAGAGGTGGAGCACCCTTCCACCAAGGAAAGGCTAAGAAAATTGGGATTGTTCAGCCTGGAGAAAAGAAGGCTTTGGGATGACCGAATTGCAGCCTTCCAGCACCTGAAGGTAGCCTACGAGAAAGAGGGACGTGACCATTTACAAGAGTGTGTAATGACAGGACAAGGAGGAATGGCTTTAAACTGACAGAAGGTAAATTTAGATTAGATACTAGGAGGAAGTTGTTTGCTGTGAGGGTGGTGAGGCATTGGAACAGGTTGCCCAGAGAAGTAGTGGATGCCCCATCCCTGAAAGCATTCAGGGCTAGACTGGATGGAGCTCTTAGCAACCTGGTCTAGTGAAAGGTTTCCCTGCCCATGGCAGGGGGGTTGGAACTGGATGATCTTTAAGGTAATTTATAACCCATACCATTCTATGCTAGGATTTGTCAGAACTGGTCATTACCAGAAGGCCATCCTAAATTCCAGCAGGCCCCTTCACAGCTGAGCTGGTCTTGTGCAGTGGAGGTGGATGAATAATTCCTAGATAGCTAGATTTCTGAACACTCATTTTATATTCACTCCTGATTGTTTGCTTTTGCAAGGGCAGTAAATGAAGCTAGGAATGCTCCAGGGAGCTCTTTGTAAAAGAGCAAAGATGGGGGGTGGGAGCAGGTCTGCAAATCTGTGAACAGGCAGTCAGGGTCACCCAATGTGAAAAGCAACAAGTATTCTTTGTTCTTGCCTCCTGCCCTGGCCGAGGGGTGTAAAGTTCTGACATGCCTTGTTTGAATTGTTGTTCTGTCCAGGCACTCACTGGCAGGTCCCCTCAGCCTGCAGGCAATCTCTGCATGGTTCAGTTACCTCAACTATGAACGTATTTACCACAGGGATGGAGAAGTAAACTCCCAACCAGCAACAAGTCTGTCAACAGAAGGGGAAAAAACAAGCACAGAGTCTCCAGAGGACCTTTGTGCCAATTTGTGCTGATGTCAGGATGTCAAGGGAACCTGCCTATATTGGTCTGAGGGGTACATTTGTGCCGGTGCTGTGTGTGAAAATGGAGAGGATGTATCTGAGTACTGGCCTGTTGTACTGTGTACAGCACTCGTGCAACAGCTGTTGCTGCTGTGTTTAAAAAATTGTCATTCCAGCCCTGTGATGCTATCTGATCCTAGAGGTCCCTTTAATTTTGTTTTTATTAGGAGTGCTTTACATTTCTAGAGCTCTTAATTGGAAAGGTCAACAGCAGTGTAGGCTAAATGGTTCTTGAATCATGAACAAATCCTCGGCATGATTTGAGTGCTCCTTCATCCAGCATGGCTGACACAGCCCCACCTAATGCACACACAGTTGTAGGACTGAAGACAGCAGTTTATCCTATTAGGCCTTTCTCATCAGCACATGTTCTTTTCTTACAAAAAGCTTCCTCATGCAAGATCTTGGATCATTTCCCTGCTCTCCACCCCTTCAGAGAGACATGAGGGAAGTTCCACCATGGGAAACTGGATAAAAGTTTGAGTAGATAGCAGAGAACAGTCCTGCTCTGAGGGAGCAAGGAGGGGGCCAGAGGTGACCTAACATATCTGTGACCTTTCGAATAGCAGCTGTGATGGCATTTCAAGTTGTGTAAACACCAACCATCTGTAGGTCTTGTGTAACCATGCCTGAGTACCTAGGACACATTATCTTAGCAAGAATCTTGGAGCAAGTAGTGAAACGGTGAAGGAGCAGGGATTGCAGCTGACATCATGTGTTTACAGTAGTGAAGTCAGGGGAAGACTCAAACCATCTGAGTGACCTTACTGAGCTAAGCTGGCAGGCAGTGACACCAAGCAAAAGCCATGCTGTCAAGCTGCAGACAAAATGCATAGGAAGGAATCGTTGGTTTTTTTTGTATTGTTTTGAGCTCTGTACACAGTGCAAAGATCAGCGCAACATCTAGAGTCACAGTGTGGCACTGATGGTTTTGCCCTTCTCTTCCTCCCTCAGGACGTCTTGCTGCTGAGTCAGTTTATCCGTTCTGATGGAGGGATGCTGCCACGAAGGGTCACAGGCCTCTGTTTGGAGGAGCACAAGAAGATTGCTGTCTGTGTGCAGATGGCTCACCGTGCAGGTACGTACCCTCTGCCTGAGACAACCACTTACTGTGGGGTACCTATAGAACTCCTCAAGGTGAGTCTCCTGCCCAATTGGTATGGCTCAGTGAGGTGTCATTATCCAGTCATGCAGCAAGCTCACTATGGTCCAAGTGTTGGGACAGGATGTCAGACCAGAGACTATTTGTTCTGCTTGCTTGGCTTCTGCCTTGGCAACAGACATTTATCCTTGTGGATGAGACTACTGTTGAAGAAAGGTCTGGGAAGTGGCTCAGTTTTTAGTACCTAATGATTAAATACCTGCTTCTGAAACTACATGATTTAGCATAACCTTGACCTACCCCATTAGTAACATGTACCTCTCTGCCATCTGCCATGTGACAATTCTTTTTTTACTTTACCCCAGGAATGGGACCCAGGTTGACACATTCGGAGTATTGTGCTGATTTTTATGCCTAGTACTTCATTTGTATCTGAGTTAAATGGACTGAGAATTTTAATAGTCAGATTTTCCATCCTGGAGACACGGAATCTGATTAGACACCAGTGCTGTGTGTCCCTGCAAAAGTCTCTGTGGTGAGCCCAAGTGACAGTGTCTTTGGTGGGTATTAACTGGGATGCAGATTCAGTAGTGACTAAAAATAAAATACTCCTTCTGCTGTATTTGAACTTTTTCTGTACTATCCCAGTAGTGACCTGGGTAGCCTGGCTTACAAGGTATAATGTGACTTCTGAATGCTGTAGAAGCAAGGAGGCACTGCAAGATATTCTCACACCTTTCTTTTTCTATTTCAGGTTTGTTGCCAAACCACAGGCCTCCACTTCCTGAAGGGCATGTTTCTAAGAAACCCAAGCTCAACAGGTGAATAGTCTTGTCTTTCTACATTTCTCTTTTTCAGGAATAGTTTGGAAGAGGAAAAGCTGTTCCTTATAACCGGGTAAAACATGCCTCGGGCAACAGGGTTCATAAAGAATACTCGTAGTATTTCTGAGAAGTGAGATCTGTCATGATACTCTATTGTCAGTCTTATAAGGATAAGCCACATCTCATACAATCCATTTAGCCACACAGGATTAAAACTGCTACACGTTAGAGTCTGCCTGCCCTTTCTCAGCTGTGCTCACCTCCTCATCACTAACAATCAGTAAGGCAGTCACAGGAGGATGCCACAGAGGTGGAGTCACAGCACCAGAGTGTAGCTGAGGTTGGAAGAGGTCTCTGGAGATTGTCTAGCCCAAGTTCCCTGTTCAAGCAGGGTCACCTAGAGCAACTTACTCAGGACTGTGTCCAGTCAGGTTTTCAGTATATCCAAGGTTGGATCAGTTTGTCTGAGCAGCTTGTTCCAGAGAACCATCCTCACAGTGAGACAGTGTATGTTCAGACATAATTTGTTGTTTGAATTTGTGCCCATTGCCTCCTGTCCTGTCACTGGGCACTAGTGACTAGAAGAGCCAGCCACTGTCTCCCTTCAGGTACTTTATAGCCCCCGACGGCAGGAGGGTGCTCAGGACAGGTACCAGCAGTGAGTGGGAGGCTGAGCAGCCAGCAGGGCCTTTCACAAGCTTGTTAGCCTATGCCCATCCTCATTTCCCCCAGGCTGCAATTCACCCACTGCCTGCCCATCCTATCCAACAGGGTCTCTTTCCCCCTCCCCAGCCCGAATGGCCCCTGGCCTTTGGTGGGCTAAGGAAAAGGCTACAGCCGCCTCCTGCTCTGTGCTGGGCACTTGGAGGTGCTAATCCCCTGTTTATAACCTCACACTCTGTTTCCATGGGGATGTCAGAGCCGTGCATGAACCTCGCATTAGCCAGCCCTGGGGTTACCAGAGGCCATGGGGCTGTTGCTGGGAGAGCTTAGACTGCAGGGCTGAGGACGGCTGGAGACTCCTGCATTTCAGGTTTGATTCTGCCATGGAAATTTGAGCCAGGCTCCTGGAAATGTCCCTTGGATGCTGGCAGACTGAATAATGAGTGTCAGTGAGGATCAGATTAGAGGGCTACCTTTGATGCAGCCCTGTAGCCATCAGATACTTCAACTGTGATTACTTCTTTCCTGTGTTTTACAAGACTTGGGGATTCTTTCGTTGCTGTGTCTATCTGGTAGCTGTGGGTGGAGCACATTATCTTGTTATCATTCACATTACAACCCTGCATAGCAAGTTGAGACTGGAAATGGTAAATGCAGTAGCTTGCAGAAATCACACCAGGATTCCAGATCTGATGCCCAGACTTTTATCGGTTGTTCCATAGACTTTTGGTGAGAACAAAGAATGAATACCTCTGGATACATTTTACATGCAAGTAGGTGTGCTATACCTCTAAAATGAAGGGATTTAAACTGCAGATCAGTACCCAAACCCTCCCTATTGCATTGCTAGTCCCACCCTACACCACCCGTGTTTTTCTCTTCCTGCTAAGGGAATGTAGCAAGCCAGGTGGAAGCAGAGTTTAGAAGAAGAGAGCAGAGCTGTTGCTGAGGTTATGGAGCAGCATTGAAATAGTCAGGCTTTGGGGTATGCTTAGAGACAAGAGAGTAGGATCAAGAAATCACATTGAAAGTTTTGGTGATGGGGCTAGAAATGAGGCTAGAAATGCAAGGTAGAGTGCAGGAGCACTTTGGGAGTGCTGTCCTGATCCTTCATGACCCTGATGACTGTCTTCTCAGCCTGCTAGAAGGAAGAAGCTCTGTGTGTTGGAGCCCTGTGATATCTTGGCCGTTGCCATTCTGTACGAGTTTTGACTGTGTATCCCCACCTGTACTTCCCTCATTACTCTCTGCAGCAGTAGCTGGCACCACATAAGGCAGGAGTTACAAATTGCTTCCTTCCTCTAGCCTGAAGGGTGCCCGCATGCTGAATGACTCAAATCATTCAGCCATTACTTATTTTGGGAATGAAGCCAAAGCTCTTATCAAAAGTTTTCCACATAAATGACTTGTCCAAGCTTACCTTGTCTTTGCCTCTGTACTTGTTTCTGAAGCTTCCTGTAAGTCTGTAGTAACTTGGGAAACACTTAACCTGTGGTACTGCCAAATGCAAGTGAGCTGGCAGGGGAGGACAAGGGTGGAATTGGGCTGGAACTTTGGAGTGAACAAGCTGCCTCGTTCAGTGCCATGAGAACATGTCTAGGTCATACTCTAAACCTGTCTGGTGTAATATCAAGGTTGTTCACCTAACTTAGCTCCTTCTATCACTGCATTTGTCTGCTGGGTTTTTAAGTGCCAGTTCAAGAAGGGATCAGCAGGATCCACAGAGAGCCTGTTATAGCAGGCAGTACATTACACAATTAAGTGGTGTATTTTCCAAATCCTTGAACTTCAGCTCTTTTTGAGATCACAGAGTATTGGCTGCTCTAGCCATTTTACCCCTCTGCTTAGGTGAGAGGTAGCAGTGCCTTTTTACACTGCTGCTGTAGCCTTGGGAATGCCAGCGGGGAGAAACTGAGGTACCTCAAAATATGCTTAAGCCCCTTGTTAAAGCTTTTCCAAGACAGGAACACAGATAATGTACATTCCTTCACATCAGTTTAACCAGCCCTTGTGCACTCCATCTCTTCCTGCAGGGATGGCTTTTTTATGCTCTGCCTGTGGGTCTGCTCTGTATGTGGTGTTGAAATACGCTTTTCCACACCCCACCCCCTCCAAAATAACCCTCACCAGCTGCACTCTAGGAGCGGATGGAAGTGCCCATGCTTTAACCTGATCTCTGAAGGGAACAGAGATCCTGGCACAGCAGCCTGCCCATTGCTGTGCACTGATGCTTAGAAATTAGGTAAAAAAGGCATCACTGCCTTGGCTCTGCAGGTGTCTGGCCCTACTTGGGCAAAAGAAAGTGGTCATGTAGCACCAAGCCACTGAACAAAGATAAACTTGCATCAGGGCTGCATACTGAGATGGACAGTTCTCACAGGTGGTTAGTAACATCCAGTATATTGAGAATGTAGACTATTCTGAGACACTTGGCCTCCATTCTTGCTGTCTCTCCTTCTTGCTCATCTGCACTTATTCTCTTGCCATCAGAGGGAACCATCCCTTGGGAACAGTGAAAGCTCCAGACTAGGTCTGCATTGACAGGGGGAAACTTCATTGCTTTTCCATGTCCATTCCATTCTTCCATTCCACATGGAAGAAAGCTTTACATACAGAAAACACAGTTTCTGCTATACTGCTCTAAAATAGGAAGGTGCGAGTTGAAAAGAATAGGCAGAATTATGTCAAGGCATATTCTGTCTCAAGACTGTGACAATAAGCTTTGCCCTGTTGCAGGACAGCATTTCTCTCAGAGTCTCACCTGTACTTTTTATGTGCTCACCCCTTCTGCCCTGAAATTCTTGTCGTTGCCCCTCATAAGTAATCTATCATCTGTCTCTACTCTGAATTGAGAAATCTTTCACTTTTGTAAAGGAGGGACTTCTGACAAGTCTACTCCAGATGTTACTCCACGTACTTCTGTGAGAATTTATACCATCTGGGGACTGGATCAGAGCCCAGGACCTCTACTGTAGTACAGACCTGGGCATTTACTTACTGCATGTAGACTCAGAGCAGCAACCCCTGCCTGGCTGAAGTCTGGCAGATTACTTCATTCGGATGAGCAATTCCTTACATTTCTCTCCAGTCTTGCAAAGTTCTGGTTGGTGCTCCCTTTGGCCGGGCTTCTTCCAAGGCTGTGCCAGTACTTTTGAGAGCAGCTTCATTTGTTGCTGAAAGAGGGACAAACCTGCCTGATGAAAAACTGATGTGTCCCTGAGCCAGTGTACAGGCCAGCTGCACAGGAGGAACCCTATGGCTCCTGGAAAAAGATGCTAAGGAAGTACATAAAGAAGGACTGAGGAGCTGCTTTAATGTATACATTTGAAACCACCAGAAAAGCTGCTCCTCAGCTCTTTCTTGGTTGTACTTGTGGCAGTCTTGGCCAGAATGTTTGGCCCATGTCACAGTCACCCTGATTAAAGTGAGCCTGCTTCAAATCCAAAGTGTCTGGCATGCACTGGCTAGCACCTAGCTGGGATTAAAAGGTAACATGCCATCATATGGAACTATCAGCAAACTGTCTTGTTTTTACAAGGGTCAGGGGTGCTGACCTGCCATTGATTTAGTGTTGTGAAGCATGGATTTATCATACAGAACCCCCCTGCCTGCTCTACCTCTCCAGAAGATGCTCATCTGGTGCTTATTCAATGGTGTTTTCCATAAAGCAGAATTACTGCTCTGTCTTC